GCAAAGACCGTGGCCACGGGCAGCTCTGGGGGGTGGGAGCAAAGGGGTGGGGGAAGCCCTGGTTGGGCACGGCTTGGCCCCAGGGCTTTGGGGTGGCTGTGGCAGGGTCAGGGTGGTCTCACCTTGTCTCTCCAGAGCTGCCCTCCCGTAACTCAGGAACATCTCCACGGCATTGATGCAGGTATCTTTGAAGATGCCCTTCACCGCCTCACCGAGGATGGTGTTGTTCTGGAGGACAGCCCTGGCGTACCGTGCCAGGTCGGTGTCCTGGGAGAGGGTCCAGGTGGCATTGTCTGCATCCCAGCTGAGGAAGTCCTGCCCATTGTAGCCCAAATAGAAGAAGACCTGAGAGGTCCTGTTGGGGTAGAGCTTGCAGCCTGCCATGCTCTGAGCCACAAAGGGGTCTGGAGGGGCCAAGAGGGGAGAGAGGTTGCATGAGGGGCTGGGATTGCCTTCCTGCAGGCATGATCAGTGCCAGCACTTGCCAGATCCTTCCTCACTATCCAGCTGCTGTTTAGAGAGGGGACGCAGTGAAGAGTGGATACTCACAGGGCACATCCTTCTGTATGGCCCCTTCATTGATCACGCGGATGAACCGATACAAATAGATCCTGAATATGTTGTCAATGTTGTCCCACACCCTTTGGGGCAGGGCTGGACGCACCCAGGGCTGGCAGAAGTGGATGGACCAGGTGTGCTTATCAAGAGAACCGAGTTCGATGTCCTCCAGCAGGCCCAGCCCCTCCGTGTCCACAAAGGAGGTGTTTTGGAAGGTAGAGGTGTGAAGCAGCCGGATAGTGAAGGTCCCTAGATGAGACACGGGTTGGCAGGGAGGAGAGGGACAGGGAAAGTGGAGGGGCTGAGGGACAGGTTGCAGAGGTTGCAGAGATCTGTGGGCCCCCCCTAGGCCCCCTTCATCCTTGGCAGCCCTGGCTCCCACCCCCTGCACCCACCTCAGGTGGCTGCATCCCTGCCGAGGAGGAGGTGTGGAGCCAGGGGACAAAGAAGGGTGAGGAAGCAGGAGCCAAAAGTGGGTGGGGAGCAGGAAGCCTCTTGCCCATGTGGGCATGGGAGCAGCTGTGGATGAGGCAAGGCTCCCACTTACCCTCCAGAGCTGCCCATGTCCCAGAGAGGAGGAAGAGGTAGAGAAGGACGAGGAGGAGGCAGCAGCGAGGGGGCTGCATGGTGCCAGCAGTGAGGCCCAGAGTGTGCAGCAGTGGGTGCAGCAGCAGGAGGAAGAGGCTGTGGGAGATGTGGCTGGAGAAGTCTCAGGCTGGCTCTGCCTGAGCAGCTCTGCTGGTTGTAATGGCCCTGGCAGCCAATGGGGCTGCACTGAGGTTTAGGGGAGGGCCCCAAGGTTCCCCCTTGGGGTAGGCTGGGGCATGCTGAGCATGACTGTGAGTGTCGGGGGAATTTGCTTTTGAGCAAGGTCACCCCACCACACACAGGAGTGATCCCTCATGGCCAAGGCAGCCCCGTGACAATTAGGGTGATGTGGGTGAACTGACCCCTCTTCTCTCCCCCCCTTTCAGGGGGATGTGTCTCCTGACCATGGGCTGCATCCACTGCCCTGATGGGAATATCCTGTACTGCCAGTTGTGCCTGGCGTGTCTCGCCCTGCACAGAACAGACACCGCCATCCACTCTGCACTGCCAGGTGGGTTCACACCAACGTGGCTGCCTTTCCCAGAGGGCAGGAGAACCCTCTTCCCACCACATGGCTTCGTGCCTGGGCTCTCTGTGCCCCAAGGCTGTGAGCCCATCCCATGCCTCTTTGTCACCTCCCAGCCATACCACAGCCAGGCCACACTGATGGGCTGTGGGGATAGAAGCTGGTGATGTGGCAAACCTGCAGGAGAAGAGCTGGGCCAGGCACGTGGGCCAAGACCATGGCCCTGGACAGCTCTGGGGGATGAGAGTGATGGAGAAGAGCTGATGGGGACATTCCCTGGCCACTCGGCTCTGCTGGCCTGATTCAATGGGCAAGGGACTCCCCAGGTTGAGGTGCTGAGCAGTTCCAGTCTGGAGCACAGCTGTGGGGTCAGGGATGGGTGCAGGCAGAGCTGGAGGAAGCAGCTCCTCCAGGAGCTCCTTTTGGGGTGCATAAGGTGAATGGGCTCGAGCAGCTGTAGTGTGATGGTTGCCAAGGGAAGTGATGGGCTGCAGGGCCTGGAAGGGACTGTCATCAGAATTCTGGAGCAGTGGCACTTGGCCAGGCAGGATCCTCAAGCTAGGATGGGGATGGGACCATGTACCCCCACTCTGATGCCCATTCCAGGGAGTTTCAGTGCATGAGCAGCTTCCCCCTTTCCATGGAGCTCTATCCATGCTCTAGGACCTGGGAGCTGCTTCTCTGCTTCCCTGCACCCCAGTGTTGGGGAGCCCCAACTCTGCCCTGAACGCTCCCAGGAGAGGGCCTGGGCATGGCCTGCAGCCTGACACTCCCCTTTCCTTCTCACCAGCTTTGGTAGGGAAGCCTGTGCCCCTCCTGAAGAGTCCCCTGTGCATGGGAACAGGAATGGTGGGAGCCATTCCCCTGCTCTGTCCCCATTGGCACCAGTGTCCCAAGCTGGAGGGACAATGGGGTTACCAGAGCCAGCCTCACCCCTCAGTGTCCCTGATCCATTGCTCCTCCCTTACCTGCAGTTTCTCTTCCCCTTTCCTGGAGGGAGCCCAAGCTGAGGGCGAAGGCAGAGCTGAAACCACAGCTGAGGGGAAGTCTGAGGGGGGTGCCCTGATAACAACCAAACACAACCAGGGCTGAGGTGTGTGACCCCCGTGCTGTGTGATCCCTCCAAGCACAACTGGATCCAGGTGTCGCTGCTCCATGTCTCCATTTTCGGTGTCTCCAGCTGGAGGGACATGGGGAAGGCCCATATGGAGCTGCTGCAGGCTGAGGTCCAGCACCTC